GAGGTCACATATAGATCCTTGTAATCGGTTCCCTCTTTCCAACCCACTCTCCCTCTACCCTCGCAGTATCATCACTCACCCCCCACTGGTCCTGAAGGGATCATACGCCATGGATTCCCTGTGTTTCCAGTTCCTATCTGTACCAGTGTACATACTCTGGTCTAGCCAGACTTGCAAGGTAGAATTCAGATCATGATAGTGGGGGGGGGGGGGAGCATTTAGGAACTAGAGGAAAGTTATATATATATATTTTTGAAAGTTATATTTTTTATCGTTGCTACATCACACCCTGGCTGGCTCGTCTTCACCCCAAGACCCCTCTGCAAGGGGCTCTCCAGTGGCCTACAAATGGGCTTTGGGGTATCCACTCCGCATTTCCCCCATCATTGACTATGGTAAGATTTTTTTGTTCTGATGATGCCTTATACCTGATCACTTCGACACCTCGTGGTTGCATAGGCTGATGTGTTCTTCCATGTGGGCTTTATTGCTTCTGAGCTAGATGGCCGCTTGTTTATCTTCAAGCCTTTAAAACCCCAGATGCTATATCTTTTGATAGTCGGGCACCATCAGCTTTCTTCACCACATTTGCTTATTCACCCACTTTGTTTTCAGCAGTTGTGTCGGGAAGGTGAGCATCATAGAATGCCAATTTAATAGAAGAAAGTATTCTTGCACTGAGGGAGTACTCCCCATCTTGAGTATTTCTTTTTCCTTTTTAACTAAAAACAAACCCACTGCCATCAAGTTGATATCTATTCATAGAGACCCTACAGGATAGAGTAGAACTGACCCTTTAGGTTTGAGGCGGTAAATCTCTTAGAGAATAGAAAGCCTCATTTTTCTCATAAGGAGTGACTGTTAAGTTTGAGCTACTTAACTTTGTGGCTAGCAGCCCAACATGCCACCAAGCTCCTTTTGTCCATTCTTTATGGTTAAATAATGATAATTCTTATCATTTATGATGTCTTAGATGGATGACCTATGGTGCTTTAAATATATTTCTATAACTAGACTCGAAATTCTATACCAGCAGTTCTCAACCTGTGAGTCACGACCCCTTTGGGGGTTAAACAACCCTTTCACAGGGGTCGCCCAATTCATAACAGTAGCAAAATTAAAGTTATTTAGTAGCCAACAAAAATAATTTTATGGTTTGGGGGGTCACCACAACATAGGGAGCTGTATTAAAGGGCTATGGCATTAAGAAGGTTGAAAACCATTGTTCTATGGCATTAATCATTACATTGCAAACCTCTCTTATTACCCTAAGTATTTTCTCAAGTCTTACCATTACACTCTGAAAGTTTAACAATAATTCACCATATATTTATTAAGGATTCAATTAACATGCATAGTGAAAATGCAGGGAAAAAATACCTTCTGCATATATTCATGTATAAGCCCAATTTTCCATCACATCTTTTTAAAATTAAATCATTTTGTTGGGGGCTGCACAACTCTTATCACAATCTACACATACATCCACTGAGCCAAGCACTTTTGTACATTTCTTTCCCTCATCATTCTCAAAACATTTGCTTTCTGAGCCCCTAGTAATCACTCCTCATTTTTCCTCTCCCTCCCCACTCCCCTCTCCCTCATGAACTATTGATAATTTATAAATTATTATTATTTTGTCATATCTTATACCATTCAATGTCTCCATTCACCCACTTCTCTGCTGTCTGTCCCCCAGGGAGGAGGCCATATGTAGATCCTTGTAATCTGTTCCCCCTTTCTCCCTCACTATCCCTTCACCCTCCGGGTATCACCACTGTCACCATTGGTCCTGAGGGGTTCTTCTGTCCTGGATTCCCTGTGTTTCCAGTTCCCATCTGTACCAGCGCACATCCTCTAGTCCAGCCGGATTTGTAAGGCAGAATTGGGATCATGATAGTGGGGGTGAGGGTGGGGGGAAGAAAGCATTAAAGAACTAGAGGAAAGTTGTATGTTTCATCATTGCTACACTGCACCCTGACTGGCTTGTCTCTTCCCCGCGACCCTTCTGCAAGGGGACATCCAATTGGCCACAGATAGGGCCTGGGTCTCCACTCTGCACTCCCCCTCATCCACAATGCTATGATTTTTATGTTCTTTGGTGGCTGATACCTGATCCCTTCAACGCATAGAGATCTCACAGGCTGGTTTGTTTCTTCCATGTGGGCTTTATTGTTTCTCAGTTAGATGGCCGCTTGTTTATCTTCAAGCCTTTAAGACCCCAGACTCTATATCTTTTGATAGCTGGGCACCATCAGCTTTCTTCACTACACTTACTTATGCTCCCGCTTTGTCTTCAGCAATCCTGTTGGGACAGGCTGGTGTGCTTCTTCCATGTGGGTTTTGTTGTTTCTCAGCTAGATGGCTGCTTGTTTATTTCAGGACTTTAAGACCCCAGATGTTAAACCTTTTGATAGCGGGGCACCATCAGCTTTCTTCACCACATTTGCTTATGCACCCATTGTCTTTAGCATTCACTCAGCACATTTTTAATGCAGTTTTGGGGGTAAAATTAGGTGCCTCATCTGGTATTCAGGTTTGCTTATACCTGAGTATATATGGTATTTACAAATCAATGTATAATTTAATTTCTGATACTAAAAATAAGCAAATAACAGTAATTTAAGGCAATTTTAACTTTTCTAGCTTTTTCCTGGGAGTGTCTAGAATACTAAAATTTAGAAAGGTTAGTGACTTTGAATTACTTGGTATAATCACGGAATTCATTCTACACTGAAACCTATGAGAGATGAACAACAGATCTAGGGTCTCACAAGTTTCTCACCTTTGAAATTATGCATTCTTACTACTTTTCTATCATTTATTTTACTGGAAAGTATGGTACTTCAATTTTCCTTCTCTAATAGGCTTATGCCTTATACAAATTCTGGTCCTGACAAGCTTAGCTGTCTCCAGGTTTAAAATATCAAAAGTGTTACCTTCTTAACAAATTATTACAAATGAACCTACACTCTCCTTAATATTTCATTTAGTACAGATGATTCCAATGAATTAAGAATTAATCTTCTCTCAGTGAAGCATGATTGTTATAGCAAAATATCAAAATCTTAATAACCAAACTTCTTTCCAAAAAGTGTCCAACACTACATTCATGAGGAAAATATGCCAATTACATGGTAATTCAGGAAAATTACCCACCAAAGAAAAGGTATAAGAAAACTCACCTAATATTTAAATTATGTGTTTTTTAAGAACATTATAATCTACATGACCAGTCTACAAAGGATCATTTTCTTTCATCCAGGTTGACCTTTTCTACTAAGTTGATTCTAAGGAAACAAAAATATCTCATAAATTCCCTTAGAAGAGTGGTTCTCAACTTTTGTAATGCCGCGACCCTTTAATACAGTTCCTCATGTTGTGGTGAGCCCCCAACCATAAAATTATTTTCATTGCTACTTCATAACTATAATTTTGCTAGTTACAAATCAGGGTCGTTCGACCCCCAAAAGGGTTGTGACCCACAGGTTGAGAACCAATGCCTTAGACTCAACTTTCTAGAGAAAGATGAAGCTTTCTACTCGAGAGTTGCAGTCTCAAAAATCCATGTCGGCAGTTCTACCCTGTCCTACAGGGTTGCTTTGAATCAGAATTTACTTGACAGCAGGTGAGTTTGGTTTGAGTAGAATTAACTTTTAAGAAAGGCCTTCTTTGATAATAGCTTACGGCTATTAAGGTGGCAGAGTGGTTATAAACTCAGTTGAAACCACCAGCTGCTCTGAAGTAGAAAGGGATTTCTGCTCTTGTAGAGTTATCATCTCAGAAATTCACAGGGGCAGTTCTAACCTGTCCTAGAGGGTCACTGTGAGTCAGTGTGGTAGTTAGATAATTTTACATCAACTTGAAGATGTACGAAAGTAGTGTAGGTTTGGAGTCAAAGCTGCCTAAAGTCACAGCTTGATGACTCCTTCATAGTATAAAGGTGTGAGACACTGGGAACTCCTCTCTCTCCCCCGTCACCTTACTGCTTGCTGGCCATACTGCGAATTGCCAGAACCCTGCCATATCTGGAAACCTGCCATGCTTCCAACAACCTTGGATCCACATGACTCTACAGAGCCCATCGACCTGTGATCTTCTTGCATTCTGCATCATTCATTGTATGTGGCTGCTTGAGTCTGACAAGGGACTTATGGACCAGTATTGGACTTATGGGCTTGATTTGGACTGGGCTGAGATACTTTCTTGATAACTAATTACTTTTTATATAAAACTTTTTTTATACATATATGAGTGTCACTGGATTTGTTTCTCTAGTCAACCTGGACTAACACAGTTGGTATCAACTTGACAGCAGTGAATTTGGTTTGAGTTTTACATTTCTTAAATGGAAATGCTTGCATTAAGTCATTAAATGTTTGCAATAATCCTCTGCGATCACTATAATTTTTATTTTACAGATATAGAAACTGAGACTCAGAAAACCATGTCCACAATCACCCAACTCCTAAGATAAAATTGTTAGTAATAATCACTATCAGTTGGTGACTACTAGTCATTTACCACTATTGCTTCTGTTGCTATGTTAGCCTCTGAGAAAGCAAGATGATCAAGGTCCAACACAGAAAGAATGACATATGCACACTAACTATAAGGGACTCTACAAATGGCTTAGAGAAGAAAAAATGAAGGTTCGGTAGAAAGGCAATGTCTAGTTGACCTACATAAATCATTTACATACCCCCCCTAACACTCACAGCACATATGTACAATATACACAATGCACATTTAGATTATAACAGTAAATTATTACTGCTTCAACATGATTTGGGTTGGATGTGTGTTTTAAATACACACTGTTCCTGACATGTTACTTGATACAGCACATATGTACACATATACACCATGCACATTTAGATTATAATAGTAAATTATTACTACTTCAACATGATTTGGGTTGGATGTGTGTTTTAAATACACACTGTTCCTGACATGCAACTATCAGGATAAAAATTGTAATTAAAATCAAAGGAATTTACTTTTCTCTGTGACTCTTCTAAAGTAGCAAAAGAGTGTTTTAAGCTTTTCTGGTTTCCTTGATGAATGTCCTTCAAACAACCTGAAAGAGACAAAATAAAAATTTAAAAATCAGGGGTAGAAGATGATTTAAAATAATTTAATGCGTCACAGGGAGAAAGACGAGGCTCTGTACTCCTGTAAACAGCTAAGTCTTGGAAACCCACAAGTTTATAATAGGGTAATTCTACCCTATCGTATAGGGTCTCTATGAGTCTGAATAGACTTGACAGCATAAACGTCATCATCATCAACAGTTCACAAACAAAGAAGAAATCTCGATTTTCATCAAAGAATGGAAGAAACCATGCTAGAAGATAACTGTGATAAATAATTATAGAGAACTAAAAAATATGATTTAGATTCAAATGGCATTTAGAGAGGTCTGAAACCAACTTATTCGAGGATTCTTCAATGTTGTCCATTCAAGTCAGGAGGCTCTCTAATAGCTTCTTTCTCTAATAGATATTGCCTTGAGAGAAGGCACCAGCTGGTTCCCCAAAGTCAATTAGGGTTGCAAGTTAATAATGCATGGGTATTTCCCAAAGGCAAATACTATAAATAATTCATAATATTACTAAATATTTAGATGTTAAACAAAAATGGCTTCTGAAAAAAAATCCACATCTGATTATATTGGGCACAGGGGAGAAAGGGGCAAGCATGACAAGATATTTGAGGGCTGATTTGCCTTGGTTATTAAACAAATATGCCCTCTGCATGTTAACAAAAACAGCGATCCGTGCCTATCCTGTATCATCTAGTTTCCAGTAACCTGGGCTTTGCACTCCCTAATTTCATTTTCTTTGAAATGGAATGGCACTGTTAGTGGTAACACATAATGCAATTTATCCTGAGGAAAGAAAAGCAGCAAGGCTGAATAAGTGTATGACTTGAGAAAGTAGCTCACTAAAAGATGTCAAACACAAAGGCATGCTTTGGGCATGAGAGCTAATTTTTGAAAGGTATTTAAAAACTATAGAGATTCTGTGGTTATAAATGACGGGGTATTATTCAACTGACTCTAGTTATACACTCTTGGCTTTAAAATCCAAAATGCTGCAAGTAAAGCTCTAATAATAAGTGCTGAAATGGATAAAATTTTTCATGGTTAGAAAAGAAGACTTATGTAACTATTCAAAAAGAAAGAAAAAAAACATAATTCCATGAGTAAAACCTATTGAGCAACTGAAACAAACAAGGAAAGCTTTCAAATGATTTTGCTTTAATGACCTAAAGTTATGTATTCAGGTTCAACTTCTAAAAACACAATTCATATGATTGATTACTTACTAAAAAGGGTACTAACATTAGATTCAGAAATTTGTATTTGAACCAAATATATAAGTCTAATGCTTTAAAGAGAGTATAAGAGTCCGTACACAGCAATTGTCACTCATCTAAAAAAAATATTTTAAGCATATTTAACACACATATTCTTAGTCTTCTACTGCCTGCTGAAAGAAAGGCTTTCTGAGACTATAGAGATCCAACTTGGTTTCTTCTCTAACATGCAAACCAGAAGAGTGTTTAAGTGACAATAAAGAAGTCACTGGCAGTTTAACTAAACATGCTATGTCAAATAAATATTAATTTACTAACTGAGTATCTCTAAGCGATCTATGCAAAATTTCTTTCCAGATTTACTACTTTTTAGAGGGAAGCAATATGAATATAAAAACAGCCATCACCTATTTTAACTTTTAGAGATGAATTGATATACTATGTAGTTCAGTTAAGAGGGAAAAATTTCTCTCCAATAGACTGCTACTAGTAAGGAAAATAAATGGCTATTGGCTTTAAGAAATAATTCTTTCACACGTAAAAAATATATAAACATATGTCCCAAGTTTTTTTATGTGATGGACTGTTTGTAAGATCATATTAAAACTCACATACTTCTCAGTCATGGTGAAAATAATTAACTTGAGGATTCTCTCAAGACTGCAGATTTGTTACACTAGTGATAAAAACTTTACTGAAAGACTATACAGCTGTAGTCATCACCCACTACAAATGAGCCTATTGTTTATTTTGCAGGCCCAAACCAAATCTTACAGGTAGAAATACAATATTGATTTATTCTGCTTATAGTTTTAGCTTCTAGTTACTATAAGCCTAATTTCAAATCACTATTCAACCAAATGTGTTTTTCCCATCATCCTGACAAAGCAAAGGGTTAAGGTGGAGAGAAATTTGGGGGAAACTAAATAGATTAAAAACCATGGGCCATTTCTTAGACTTGGCTGATGTGAAATTACAAAGTGATAGGTCTAGCACACAAATATAGTGAATTATCCTATTAAGCAAATAAAACAAAAAAAGATATGTGGATATCTTTAATATATTTAAACCTTTGAAGTGTGTGATATGTGAATTATGCCAATAAAACTGTTAAAAATAAGATAAAATAGGCCAAAAAAAGGAGGGGGAAAAGGGAACTAAACAGGCAAACAGCATGAGTGAAAGTCTTCTCAAGACTGAAGTGCTGGGACAATATTTGAAGTGAGGGAAAAGAAACCAAAACACAGAGAAAGGACTGAAAAAAGAGAATGAGAAAGGAAAGAGACATCCAGATAGGGCAGGGAAGATTAAGAGAGAGATGTAGACAGAAAAGGGGTTAGAAATATGTAGAGTGGGAAGCACAGAGACTTAATGAGAGACAGACATTTAGAAACTCAGAGAGGCAGATTTGGAGAGAGACATTCTCATAACAAGCAATACCTAATTATCTAACCTGTCAATGTCTTTGGGATGGGGTGGGGAGTGTTTGGGCCAGGTCTGGTCTGTGCGGCCCCTTACCCCAGCTCTCCAGGAAAATGACCTGCTGGACTGTGCAGCCCTGTCCCCCAAGCTCCGAAGGCCAGCTCTGGACTTTGCAGTCCCTTGCCCTACATTTCAAGAAGCTAGTCTTTGAAAACAAAATAATGTGCTCCTAAACCATCCCGACTCAGACCCTGCAGCTGCAGCACCAAGAAGCCCCCCTCCTCCTCATCAGTGCATACCTCCCTAACTCAGGCCCCATGTATGTTCCACCGCCCTGCTGACGGGCGATTTCCCTGACCTAACTCGTTGGGTCCTGGAACCCGCCCAGGAGCTCTTTCCCTGCTCTAATAAAGTCACTCTTAACTTCACTCATCTCAACTCTACTTTCGTTCTGTGCCTCAGCTTACCTCTCAGGGAGGAGATCGTATATTTGAAGGAGTATTTTTAGTCAGCAGGGATGCATGTAAATATACACATAAACTGAGGCCACAATAGCCTCTCTACATTACAGAGTATTAAAGAAAGCAAATTAAAAAAGCCAATCAGGCAACTACACTTTGATCTAAACAAGGCTATTTTAATTCTCAACGATGAATTCAAGCGTCAGATACTTATTAACTTATGTTTTTCTAACCAGATATAAAAAGAAACATATTAATAAAATCTTTCTATGAAAAGAATATTAGTAACTTTACTGGATTTGTATTCTACACACACACTTCCACGTGATTTTGTCATTTCAAGTTAAAAATAAATCCCATTAGTACACAGTAAATCAAGCCCAAAGCACTAAAACCACTACTTAAAAATGGAAGCAGACAATAATCTGGAACACAGCCAGAACATCGTTTCTGGCTTTCCTGTGAAGCATTCTGCCATATGGCCCACCGCACGGTAAACTCAGGCAAGAAGTAAACTCATAAAACCCACAATTCATCTCTGACCATCTAGTTTCCAAGCAATCTTAGAAGCATCAATGCTAATCACATTGAAAGCTTTTATATGAATGCTTTGGCCCTGAAAAGCATGCACAGGAAAAGGTCAGGAGTATTTAACATAACTAAAGAGGGCTGGAAGAACACAACAATAAATAAGCGAAGGCTTATTGAATTCATTGCCTTCAGCCTCCTTTCACAAACATTATTTTTCTTATTAAATCAACTAGCAAACCATAGTCTTATTACATTAAATTTGCTCACACACATAAAACTCCAAATGACCAGGAATTATAATCATAAAGGCCCACTACTCAAAGAAAAAGGCAAAATGCTAACTACTCAATTTATCATATGGAATATGTAACTGATCTTTTCGAAGCCACATGTCAAAGGAAAAATTTTTTATTAAAAGATCATTTTATTGGGGGATCTTACATCTCTTATAACAATCCATACATCAATTGTATTAAGCATACTCATACATATTTTGCCATCATTATTTCTAAACAGCTATTTTTTTCCTCGTGCCCCCCCCCTCACCCTCGTGACCCCTTGACAAATTATAAATTATTGTTATTTTCATATCTTACACTGACCGCTGTCTCCCTTCCCTCATGCTTCCTGTATATCGCCCCCTTGGGGGTGTGAGTGTGGTTACGTGGTGATCATTGTGATCAGTTCCCTGTTCTTCCCCCACCTCTCCCCACCTTCCCCTTCCCCTCCTGGTATTGCTACTCCCATCCTGTTTCTGGATTCCATGTGTCCTGAGCTCTTATCTCTTACCTGTACCTATATACATGCTCTGATCTACCTATCAGCTAGGAAAATATATCAAATTTTCAATGGACCTTCTCAAGCTCCTATTTGGTGAAAATGTTGAAAATCTCTCATGACCCCCAATCAATTGATTTATAAAAAAGAAAGATTATCAGCTCTAGGGGCAATCAAAGTGAACATACAATGGTATTTGGGATATAATTGTAGGAACTTGAAGAATCTGAAGTTTGTTTTTTTACCACCATTTTTTTTCTGCTTTTCAGAAGTAGGTCTTTGTGGGGAATTATTGGGGGTGTTATGGAGGCTATCAGACATGGCACAGCAAACTATATAACAAATCTAATCAATGGACAATACCATTAAATGTTTACATGTATCTAAAAATATGTATTTATTAAGAATGTAAGTATGGTGAAAAGAGTTTGTACGAGTCCCTAATAAAATGATCATATATATATATAAAATATTAAATACCTGACAAAAAACCCCAATAAAATTATTTAAGAAAAAAAATATATCATGACTACTGTAGAATAAGTCCCCCAAATCAAAGGGTCATTCT